TCTCAAGACCCTTCCTCGTAGGCAGCCTTGCACCCGTTCAAGAATGGTTCACGCGGGGCGCCTGGGTGGCGCAGTCGGTTGAGCCTCCGACTTCAGCCAGGTCATGATCTTGCGGTCCGTGAGTTCGAGCCCCGCGTCAGGCTCTGGGCTGATGGCTCAGAGCCTGGAGCCTATTTCCAATTCTGTGTCTCCCTCTCTCTCTGCCCCTCCCCCGTTCATGCCCTGTCTCTCTCTGTCCCAAAAATAAATAAACGTTGAAAAAAATTAAAAAAAAAAAAGAATGGTTCACGCACTCATTCCTCATATTCCGTCAGGCCACCCATCCTGACCCAGCACCGCTGCGGTCAACTCCTGATTCAGCTCCTGCAGGCCTCTGCTACCGCTTCCCTGTAATCTAGTTACCACACAGAGGCCTGAGTGATGTTTAAAAGGTTAAGTCAGATCACCTCATGCCCTTAAAACTCTCTGCTGGCTTTCCACATACTTTAAACTGAACTCCAAAGGTCTTACCATTGCTTACGAGACCCAGCAGGGGCTGGCCTTGGCCTGTTCCTCCACCGCAGCTCATACCATTCTCCTCTCTGTCCTCCTCCACTAGGCTTCCAGCTTCCAGAACACATTAGGCCTTCTCACGCATCCGGACGCTGGCAATGCTGTGTACTCTCCACCCGCGTTAGTCTCCCGGCTCCTTTCTCTGACAAACCTCAGCAGAGCTTTGTCATCTTCTCCTGAGACTTCCACCGACTCTACCGAAAGGAGGTTCTGCCTGCTACTCTCAAGGCCCTATTTCTTTTCCTTCAGAAGGTTTATAACTTTTTAATTATATTATTAATTTACCTGGAGTTTGGTTGACCCCACCAGTAGAGAGTATACTCCATGAGGGCAGAGGACTCTCTCTCATTCACCATTGGATCTTCTGGGTCTGACAAATAGTTGGCACCCAAATTATTTGTGGAATAAGTAAGTACACAGGTGATCTTTTACCTACTGTTTCCTGAGAGACTACTTCTATAGTCACTCCACTGTAAAAAGGATAGGATTAGGAAGTTCATCTGTAGGTTAGACACCTGGGATGGGTAAAATGTTACATAAATGGTGGCCAAGTTCCCAGATGAACCCATTCAAGGGGGTGATGTCAGCGGGGAGGGTTTCCCCCCCACAGCCGACAAGCAATCCTCCCACACCAGCTATAATCCAACTCTATCTGGAGACAGCACCACACTGCACAGACTAAGGGCTCAGTCCTACAAGACTGTCCCTCGCTTCATATGCTGCAAGCCCAGGTTGTTACCTGTACTTAGGACTGGCTACCCACAGGTTACAAGTCCCCACGACTCCTTCCTTGGGTTGGATGAATTTGCTAGAGCAGCTCACAGAACTCAGGAAACCTAACTGACTAGATTGCTGATTTATTACAGAAGGATACAAGTCAGGAACAGCCAGATGGGGGAGACGCACAGGGTACAGTGGGTGGGACAGGACAAGGCACTCCCATGTCCTCTCTGAGCATGTCACTCGCTAAGCACCTACAAGTGTTCACCAACCCACAAGCTTTCCAAACCCTTTTGCGTTTATAGAGGCTTCGCTACCTAAGTATGATGGACTAAATCGCTGGCCATTGGCAATAACTTCAACCTCCAGCCCTTTACCTCTCCTCAGAGGTCAGAGAGACAGGATTGAAAGTTCCAAACCTCTTGTCACGGGGTGGGTTCACCTGGCAGTCTGTCCCATCTTTACAGCCTTTCCAACTCACTCATTACAAAAGATACCTTTACTGCTCTTATCACCTAGGAAAGTCCAAGGGTTATAAGGGTTTTGTGCCTGAAACAGGGGACAAAAAAAACATAAATAGATATATACAGATACAGATATAGATATATACATACACACACACACACACACACACACCAAGTATATGTATATATATTTTTTCTTATTATAAATCACCATACCACACCATTGAAAAACTGTTTCAATACACAATGCAGTTTAATCACAGTATTTATGGCACAAGCCTAAGTTCTAGGGAAAGACGGTCACTTCCTGGGTTCAGGCAGGGCCAGCCGGGTTATCTAACTGGTTAGTACCTCTCAAATATTCTCCAAAGATGACCAGCTGACTCCATGCAGGCTATCATTATTACACTTCTTTGCTGATTCCATGTCTGTTTGAACTGTCCTACAATGACCTGTAAGCTTGCAGAGAGCAGGGGCCACAACTATCTTTTACTATGTTGTACAAACTCTTAGCATGGCATCACATATCCCAATTACTCCCAGCCGACTGACTGTTCCTTACCTGGCATTCCCTAGATCCAGGATATGCCATTAATAAGCAGTGTTGTATTCGTTTGTATTTATTTACATGTTGCAATGCCAACAGGCTGAAGTCTTTTTACAGGCATATGTGTTTTTATTGTGTTCATATCCCGTCTCCTTAGCCAGACACATTCACATTTTCAAAAGAATCAATTTTAGGGGCTCTTGGGTGGCTCAGCTGGTTAAGCGTCCGACTTCAGCTCAGGTCATGATCTCGCGGTTCTTGAGTTTGAGCCCCGCATCGCTCAGAGCCAGGAGCTTGTGCAGATTTTGTGTCTCCCTCTCTCTCTCTGCCCCTCCCCCACTTGCACGCTCACACGCTCTCTCTTTCTCTCTCTCAAAATTAAACGTAAAAAAAATTCTAAGGATCAATTTTAAAAAGGAGGAAAGGGCAGAACGGCCAAGGGCAACTGAGAAGTTTCATTAGGGTCAGGAAGTCCAAAATGTCCAATGAGCTGAGGTTCCTGAGAAAAACCAACTACAATGAAAAAGGGATCAATTGGAATTGGAAGAAAATGAATCTAACAGCCTGCTGCAGATGATCTATTATTAAGAGACAGAGAAATGCATTCATTCAACGCTAACCTTTTTGTCCTTTCCACTAGAAAACTTTCCATTCTAGAGAGAACACAAGCAGGTGTAGGAGGAAACAAAAGACCGAGGACCTGAGGAAATGCGGGAGGGTACTCAGATGCTTTGCTAAACTCCCCAAATGCAGAATTATATATAATGCAAAGCACTGTTTCCCAACCTTTCTCACTGCACGGCACACACAGAAAATACTAACATTTGTATGGCACACTGGGGGACACTATGCTAATATTGATCTCTTGTGAGTTTCCCTGGCTGATCAGCTTGGGAGTTCCTGCTGGCTGAAGGACCAAGGGAATCCGTTTCCTAGTCCACCTCTAACAGTGCCCAGTGCCCCAGCATTTGGAGTATGAGCTGGGAACTGACCGGGAATCCTAAAATAAAGGTAGATTATTACAAAAAGCACTATTAATCTTTGAGGAAGAGATCCTGATGAGGATCACTTCACTTAACATGAAGTGCTACCTGAATTCTAGGGAAGATTATACAGATGGTTTTTAAATCGTAAAAAAGATGTGGTAAGCACTGGACACCGACCAGCACATGCACACACGTGTTCACTGAGAACCATGCAAGCCTGACTGTCTTTGCAGCGGGTTGAGTTGTGTCATGTCAAAGAGACATGTTCTAAACCCCCAGAATCAATGAATGGATCTTATTGGGGGAAAAGGGTCTTTGTAGTGTAATTAAGGATCTCATGACAAGACCCATTCTAGATTTCGGGTAGGCCCTAAATCCAATGACAGCTGTCCTTTGAAGAGACAGAGGGAGATTTAAGACTCAGACATATAGAGAAGAAGGCCATGTGTAGACACAGGCAGAGGTTAGGGTGACGCAGCCACAGGCCAACGAACACTTACAGCCGCCAGCAGCTGAAAGAAGCAAGGAAGGATTCTCTTTCAGAGCGGAAGGTGCCTAGCCAGCCAACACCTTGATTCTGGCCTCCTGGTCTCTAGAACTGTGAGAGAATGAATTTCTGCCCAGCAGCCCTAGAAACTAATACAATCCCCTTTTCCGTTTACGACAGACAGAAGTTTATAGGACATGAAGAATGCAACAGAAATAGAGTCCCTGGAGTTCTGCAATGAATTTGACCAAACCATAATGATATCCTTGTGGGCAAAGCTGGATAAGCAACCATACCTCTCTCCTGGACTGAATTTTGAGTGAGACTTCCAAACTCAGTCTGAGATTACCGCTCAGTGAAATCAAACTGCTTTCCGTGAGAAGGGGAGTTCCTTGAGAGGGAGCAGTTTCGTCTATTTTGTTCAATGCTAGAACCCAGTGCCTACAATAGCAGCCAGAAATAGTGGCCGAATGACTCCGTTTTCTCAGAGCACAGTTAAGCAGAAGCCCCAGGCGCATGAAAGAGTCAACTCGGCAGGCTTGTGTTGGAATATTGTCTGATAAGAGTGTTTTTACATCCCCGAGCCCCTGAGTCAAGGCTGCCCGGATAGTTTACACTAGCCGTGGGATTTATGGTGAACACGTCCTTTTTCCTGGGGGTCTAAGAGCTTCAATAACTAAGGTCAGTCTGGATGTCTACACAACCGACCCCCAATAAAAACCCTGGACACCCAGGCTGGAGTGAACTTCCCTGGTTGGCAACACTTCCGACCTGCTGTCACGAATCACTGCGGGTGGAAATTAAACGCATCCCACACAACTCCACTGGGTAGGGACCTCCGGACACCTGCACCTGGTTTCCTTCAGACTTGGCCACATGCACCTTTTCCCTTCGCTAGTTTTCCTCTGTATCCTTTTGCTGTAATAATTCGTGACCGTGACGATGGCTATAGCCAAGTCCTGAGTCCTGTGAATGCTTTTAGCCAATCCTCAAGCCTGAGGGTTGTTCTGGGGACCTCTGACACGGTCTGTAAAAGTACTCCTCTAGGTGCGCCTGGCTGGCTCAGTCGGAAAAGCATGCGACTCTTGATCTCGAGGTCAGGAGTTCGAGCTCCATGGAGGGGAGGGGAGGGTAGAGATTACTTAAATAAATAAAAAATTTTAACAAAGAAACAAAAAGATACTTCTCTACAACTGCAATATCAGGGTTTCCAACACATACATTGAAACTAACCAACTCATTACCTGTGTGTTCTCATCTTGATCCGGCTTCCCTTTCCTTTTTTTATTTCTGCTGTGAAATTCTATCACTTGTACTCGCTCCCTGCCGTTCCTCAGTGTTGAGGGAGATGCCGTAGCACTAGGGGCGTCTGGTCCTGAAGGAGAGCTGGTGGGGGTCACAGCAGAAACACCCTGCAGCTCTTCCCTGAGTTCCTTGAAGAAGCTGGAGACTCTCTTCCTTCGGCCTCTCACGGGAGAACCAGGTACAGGAGCTGGGTCTGCTGCCAAGGTCACTGGAGTCCCTACATCTCTCCTCTTGTTTTCTTCCTTCTTTCTGATCCTTTTCTGTTCTGCCTCATCTTCTGTCTCCCCTGTTTGTTCAAACACAGAGTGGAAAGATAAATATTTTTGGTTCTATCGAATGAGATGAAGGCACTTGTACATACACCACAGCTATCAACACCCAGAAATACAAAGAAAAAAAAAAAAAAACAATTTCTTTTCCTTCAGATAGGGATGTATTTGCACAATTCATAGAATCCCAAAATGCGTGGGGCGCCTGGGTGGTTCAGTTGGTTAGGCATCTGCCTTTGGCGCAGGTCATGATCTCGCAGTTCGTGGTGAGTGTGGGCCCCACATCCAGAGCCTGCTTCAGACCCCCTGCCTCTCTCTTTCTCTCTCTCTGTCTCAAAAATCAATAAACATTAAAAAAGAAAAGAAAAGAATCCAAAATGCAACATCTTTTCCTAGGTAACTGACTGTATCCATGCCTTTGACCCTTGCAGCATAAAAAGTTCTCACCTTGTTCCGTAATAAAAGTGACATCAAGGCAATAATCCCAGGAACTGGTAATCCCAATTGGCTCACGTTTTGTGCTGAAAATGTCTGCCACTGCAGCTGGTGTTTTGTTTTATTTGGTTTTTTAACACTTTCTAGGGGTATAGGTAAGTATCACAGTCTTCCTATCGTCCAGAGTCGAAGTCCATACAAATACAGGGACTGTACATACGAGGGAGTCTGAGGATTGGAACCCAGGCTCTGCAAATTACTAGCTAGGTGAGCTTTGGGAAGCATTTTAACCTCTAGTGCTGGTTTCTCCATTTGTAATAATGGGATTAAGGACAGGATCAAATTCACTGGGTTGTGAAAATTAAATGAGTAAATACGTGAAAAATATGGAGTGCATGGGAAATTCTCCATACTTTTAGCTATTGTGTTTACTGTTTAAATAAACTGATCATTTTGAGTAATGGCTCCAAACTAAAATAGCTTTTGAAACATCACCTTACAAATTTAAGAAATGCTTGCTCCTTAAGGGCGTTAATGCCTAACAATCATCTCTGTTGCATGAACAAGGGATGTCGCCTTCCCTGGAGAAAGTTCTTCAGTGTGTGGAACTGTCTTCCTACTAAAGTGCCTGGCGGTTGCCAATCCCAATGACCTTTTTGTATTTCCTTTTCCCCAGTCAAGATAAAAGGAGACCACAGGCTGGCCAACTTAACGAAGAAAAGCCTGCAGCAAAAAAGCTTCCCGTGAAAACGTTCTCTGAAGTCCGTGGGGGAGGAACACACTGAAGGATGGGGCACCAACGTCACAAGGTGGTACCAGGGCACCAGGATCACCGAGTTTGGGGGAGAATGTGGGGTGGGCAGTGGGCTTCCCAGAGGGCCGAGAAATGTGAAAGGGTGGGCTATTCCGAGAACCCTTTAAACCTGACAGCCTTGGTGCTCATGACGAGTAACTAAGTAGTGCCCACACTCAGGGGCGACGTGGGAGGCTGTATTCGTAAAGA